GTGTTGGGGGGGGGGGGGGGCTTTTATTTGTTTGTTTTAAATTTCTGTGCTATTTAACCTCAGTTTGGTTCATACCACTAAGAAAATAAGTGGAGAAAGAAGAAAAATCATTATAACTATAATGTGCAAATACACACTTCTCGTTAATCTGCTTTGTAGGAGGTTTTGGTAAAATCACTTCTGCCAAAACTCTACTAGTGATAAGGAAAAGGAGAAGACAGTGAAAAAAACTAAAATGAAAACACACGACTCATTCTCATTATGCTCTGAACTAGTACTTACACCCATTTTATCTACTGTTTTCTGTATAAATAACCAGATACAAATCCAGTGATGAAAATTAGTAGTTTCTCACCAATTTCAGCAGGCTTTAGAGCAGATCCTAAGTGTCTCAGTCCAGAAAGAAGACAGTATCAGAAGACTGAAAGTAATAAGCGTGGTGTTTCAACATAACCTGTAAGAGGCTCCACTTAATTCAGGGAATGCTAGTGAGCCACTGTCCACACTCCGCAGGTGACCAAAGGTTTGCTGCCATCTACTGACAGCTCTGTGGCTTTGTGAAAAGCAGTTAACTGCAGCCCAAATCACTGCTGGTGGATAAGCCTTCACTCGAACTGTCTTAAATGACAACAGTTTTGGAAAACTCAGAGAAAAGTCCAAGTGTGGATGGAGAGAGAATCTAAACCTCTCACGATCAAAGTTGATTTAGCACATCTCACATTTTTAGCAATGCAGAAACTCGGTACTCCTGGACTTTGTTAATAAGACTTCAGGAACATTAATGAAGCACCTTTCACAGTGTTAGAGGGCTTTAATTGTAGTATAACTGAAAAGTGTCAATAACTATATCTATCTGTCAAAAATGGCATTTGTTGTCAATTACTTCCTTAAATACACTGCATGTTAGAGATGTCACACATTCAGTCTGGGAACCGAAAGGCAAATTGATGCCTTCATGGCTAACAAAGCACCACTGTCAGGTATAAGACAATCAAATAAAACCTTCTGCAGTCAGAGGTGAATACAAGTTATTTCATATACCAATCAACATCTACCTCAGCTGCATGTCTCCTATTATTTTTATGAAGAAGCTTTTCAGAAACTTGCTGCTCTTTTGGCTAGAAAACAATTAGTTTCTGCAGATAGCATTTATTAGATTTATAGTGGATACACAAGCCCAGAGTCTAATTCATCCTTCCACAAGCATCTAAACACTGTAGAAGTATTTTTTATTAAAAACACAAATAATTTTACTCATTTGAGAAAACTGAGGTAAGAGTTACGGGCACAGTAGTTCAACGTCTCTCATCTCTACAGCATCCTAAAAAGAAAGGCATTTTTATAACCACCATGGAACAAGAACTTTGCTGTCCGATTTTAAGCCCGACACCTTAAGAACGACTGCATGTGCAGACACTTCTCTGCCAACACAGCACACAAGCATTCCAGTGACACAGCTGTTTGAGTGTCCAGGCAAAAACATGCTGATTTTGTCAAATAAACCTACGTGGCACAAGGATAAAAATGGTACATGCAAATCTCCTTTCCTTTGGTTAAGTGAATTCAAACTTGCAGTCTTTCTGCATTTGATTGTTCATCAAACAACCTCCAATTAATGCCAAATTTCTAACAAATCTGTTTTCCCCAACAGACCAAAAAATGATGCTACTCTGAAATGTTAATCTTCCCATTCAGAAAAAACAATGCCAAGAAGAAAAAGATCATGGGAGAAGAAATGTGTGTGCCTATATATTCTGGTATCAGGAAAAGAAGCCAGAAGATACAGCGCTAGAGTAAGGATGGGAAAGGAAAACGGAGGTGCAGCAGACAAAAGTACTACCACGGAAGTATAAAGCTGTGTTCTCACAAGAATACAGTAAAATATCTTACAGACATCTCGTGCTTCTTAAAACAACTCAGTAAAAAGCTTTCTCTGTTTTCCAGCAACTTCACTAGGAACTGAGAGCACTCAGTACTTCTCACCACATGCTCAGTGATCATTAGTGACCAGAACTACAGTCTGTTTTATGAGAAAAACAAAAAATAGCCCACAAAAAAGCCCCAGAGTTGCTTTAAAATTGAAATAACTACTCTGAAGATGAATATTTCTAGTTAGAATATTAAACAAAAGAACACGGCTTAAAAGAAAAACTTACCGAACAGGAGTCTGTGGAAGTATAACATTAAGTTCCTCATCTGGATGGGTTTTTACTGGTGTCCTCTCCAACTGTGAGCTACAGAAATGGAAGAAAAAATTTATGAAGAACTAATGTAATTCAAAAAAGAGTATTTTCTATAAAGACTTATTAATGTGAAAACTGCAGAACAGATTTTTAGAAGATCTAGATGTCCAACCACTCCAGCTGTCAGAACAGTGTACTTTAAATTCCCAAGTAGGTCTGCTTTGAGCAGGATGTTGGACTACATAACCAAAGTTCCCTTCCAACTTCTTTTTTTTCCCTATGATTCTATTTACAAACAACTTAATATATCAGCTGGTATTCACTCTGTTTTGATCTAATTTTAAATTAATTTATTTTTCTAGGATAGATAAAGTCACAGACTCACATCAAGTTATGGAAGTTTTGAATTGTCAGAAACCACTGGAATTTAAGAATATGACTAATAAAAAAATGTATCAAACAGAATCATAGAATATTTGGGTTGGAAGGGCCCTTTAAAAGCCATCTAGTCCAAAAGCCGCTGCAGTAAGCAGGGACATCTTCAATTCGATCAGATTGTCCAGGCCTCATCCATCCAGACCTTGAATTTTTCCAGGGATGGGGCCACTTCTCTGGGCAGCCTGCGCCAGTGTTTCACCACTCGCCTTGTAAAAAATTTCTTCCTTATTATATCTAGCCTAAATCTACCCTCTATCAATTTAAACCCGCCATCCCTTGTCCTGTCACTACAGGCCCTTGTAAAAAGTCCCCCCCAGCTTCCTTGTAGCCCCTTCAGGTACTGGAAGGCTGCAATAAGGTCTCCCCGGAGCCTTCTCTTCTCCAGGCTGAACAAGCCCAACTCTCTCAGCCTGTCCCCATAGCAGAGGTGCTCCAGTCCTCTGACCATCTTTGTGGCCACCTCTGGACCTGTACCAACAGGTCTATGACATCTGAACAGTACCAAGAAATATGCCAGGGCACTGGCACTCAATTGTTTATTCTTCTAAACCATCCATGGCACATTTCTGTCCCACACAGACTACCGTTTCCCAAACAATTTGTGGGTACAAGTCAGAAATCAGAATGGGCTGAGGACCACTCCCAGCAGGCAGCTTCTAAACACCACCATCTGATTTTAGGCAGAAGGATCTGGACAGTGAAGACCCAAGCCATTCCCCATGCCAGGTGGCTCTAGACCCTTAACACCACCTTGGGCATATCTAAAATCAACAAGCAAGATTGGCCTCGGCCTCTTCTCATGATTCCTCAGCTTTCCCTGAATGACAGGGGCTTGCACAGAGTAAGAATTAGAGTAGAGCTTCCAAATCATTTTAGGCAGTCACAGACACGTTCTCAAATTATTGAAATGATAATGTAAAGCAAGCCTGGTGATACCAGAAATACCTTAGCTGAACTACAAACCTAAGAGGCCAACAGGACACAAAGATCTCCATTTTTAACATGAGGGGGTGGGAAACAACGCAAGTTCACATTTTCTATTATAAAAGCAGTAAATGGAAATATTACCATGCTATGACATCAGGCTGCAGAGTTTCATCATGATCCAGAAATAACCTTGCATCTATATCTTTGTTTTTGAGATAGAGTTCATCATACTGTTTCGAGAGAACCTCAACCTCAAAAAAAAAAAAACCACAAAAACAACTGTATTTTACAGGAACAAGTTTGACAATTTAATGAACAATATAAGCTAGTCCTACCTCATGAATACAACGCTGAAATGCTAAGAGAATGACCTTGGAGCTCATAAAGTTACTTCTTACACAGCAGCTGTAATGTACCCAGAGGAAAATTATTGTTCCCACACGCAAAGATAACCTTTTATAAGAGAAAACAATCCAAGATCATGAGACTTTTTTGAAGAAATGTAGGTCTTGACACTGTAAAAGAGCTAAAAATAGCTAGAATGGGAGACCTAGATGTGCTAATCAAAGTAATACTTCCAGGCTCTTAAATCTTTCCTTCAAAGAAAAAAAAGAGAGCAGGAAATGTAAAATGATTGCCCTTAGAACAGCTGCCAGACAATCGGCTCCATCCCCATCTCAGCTGGTTTGGAGATGAAGGCCAAGACCCAAACTCAAACCTTCTTGTTCTGTTTCCCCATTTCATATTAATATTTGTACTGGTGTAGTTCTTGAGACATGCCTATTCCTACAAAAACACAGACCATTATTTTATATCCACATAATTGTTTTGTAAATTGCTGTTAAAAGTTTCTCAGTTGATTAGATCCCATATTGCTATGACGTCATTTTGCATGAAAAAGTTTGTTGGTTTGGGTTTTTGGAGTTTTTGAGGGGGGGAGTAATATTTTCATTTATTTATTTGGAGTGAATAACATGAACTGGAAATATAGAATTTTTTTATCAGGGCCAGATACTGGTCACCAAATCTGCTCCTGCAGAAGCAGACAGTCACCTCAGTTATCTGTTTCCTGAGCCCTCAAACATACTAAATGATGCTGTGCTCTGGCAAATTTCTGCTAAAAAAAAAAAAAAAAACCAAAAAAAAACCAACAAAAAAGGCAGCAGAGTATATGAACCCAAATTAGTCCCTTCCCAGTACCAAGAAAAAGCAAGGTGTCAAGTACCTCCTACCCAGCTTTGCTCCTCATCCCCTCGTACTGTTGCCAAATGAATTTGCTCCAAACATCTCATGGTTAAAACTTTTGATTGGGACTATTAGATCAAAGATTATCTTTCAATTCCTGCTATCATGATTTTTTATTTTAAAAGTTCATTATCTTTTCATTTTTCGTTATCTTAATGGCTTCTGCATTCCTTTTGTCTGAAATATTCCACTATTTCATAAATTTCTAGAAAATACAGATTCTCACTGCAAAAACAGCAGCTCTTAGATGAAATGGCTGAACTGGGCTCACTGGGAAGAAACCTTCAGCCAGAAATAAGAGCTCTAAATCAGTCTGTTCATCAGTCCATAAAGCCTGACCATCAAACACACAGTGAAGACAAATTAAATACCAACATTAAGCCTCAAAAGCTTTTATTGTTTTGGAAACAACATTGAAATTTATTGAAAGTTGAATGTTTTTTTAATGAAAATAAGTCAATTTACATGTCCCATATTATTATCTATCATACCGATGATCTCAGCTATGACTGATGGCTAGTTGGATCACATATATGAACTGACTACCTCTGACAGACAGCCATACAGTTTCTGGGTTTTTGACAACACCCCCTCAGGCACTCAAGTTTCAGGAGCAGGGATGCCATGACTGGATTTTTCTTCAGTTACACTGTTTTATAGAATTTTCACCAGCAGAGTCTTAGACTGAAAATTTTGATACTGTGCTTAAATTCAGCAGCTTTGGATGATTTCCCACATTGATTTAAGAATAAGCTGTATAATGACCTTAGCCTGGAATTTTATACAAGGCTTGCCAACTATATATACACATAAAGTCTAAACAGACTACTGACACCCTGAAATTAATTTTGGAAGAGACTAAGATCTTCAGTGGGCCTTTTACTTTGTCCCCCACCCAACACACGATGAAACTGAACAAAACACATATTTGTCTAAATCTTGCAGACCTTCAAAGGCTTTAGCAGCTGCTTATTTTCACGTTACCACATCTACTGGTGACACACAGTTAAACCTATTATTTTAAGACTGAGGGATGTAAATACGTTGCAAGAAGTTACCTACTAAGGCGCGCTCTTGCAAGTGATTGCATAGTCTGCTGCATCCAGGCTGCAGCTCAGTAAGGTGAAAGTAATTCTGCATGGACGCAGCACTCCAAACTGACAGTTGTGAAACCAAGCCTAATCTTCTGGGTATCTCTCCAACACGACTGCAGTAACATGTCTCAATTATATTCAAATTAAGGTGTGTAATTTAAGACTGCAGGCATTTATAGACTGACTTCAGAGACCTGATATTGTAATAGTTGTATTTTAGATTAATGGCCTCACAAAGATCATGGATACGCAACTCTTAAGTCATGTTTTGCTTTGAGCCAAAGCACTGGTTCGGCCTCAGGAAATCCATTTACTAAGTTCAAATGCGAAAGCTAAATATAGTTCATGAATATTGGAATCCCTGCTAAGCCACGTTGCTGAAAAACACTGCATTTTGCTAGATGATTTTAGAACCACTTATTACAACTTCATCAGTGCGTAAAGGGAAACTTGAGCAATTTGGCATGAAGTAAAGCAGTGTTGTTGAACAGTCCTAAAATTCCTCCAATTACCTCTGGTAGTCCATTTGAAGCTGCAATACCAATAGTATTCAAGAAAGGAATAAAGCTTGTGAAATACACATTTTTGACCTAAAAAAGGAAAAAAACCATAACATTAGCAATGTGCAGAGGCAGCCATGCATACATGCTTTCACATCTTTAAATCAAGAAACTAAATGAGACGCTTCTGTCACGCACTGGGTTTTGTTTTTAATAAAGCAAAAATTAAATTGCTTACATACCCAAAACCAGAGTGATATGCAAGCATGCAGCGCGCAATCCAATGCTAGAACACTAAACAACTAAACTGGGAAAGAACCTGCACTCTTGCATTTCTGCTTCCATCATCTTCTTGGATATTCAAAAATCAGTCCTTTTTACACAAGAACAGATTTATAGAGCGAAGGAAAAGGGGAATGGGGTCCTTAATATCCCACGCAGAAGCAATGTGCTGGTTGTGTACATTTTCTCACCAAAGGACGCAGCTGTGAAACCCCACCAGTGCAGCCCTGCCTCCACATGCTACCTGTAACTTCCTATTGCACTGCTCACGCTGCAGTTTCCCTGGCAAAGTTATCACCCATACCAAAGGGCTTGCTTTTGAGGTGCTTTTTGTTAATTTATTTATTTTTAAAGTACCTACTAGAAAAATGGTAGAACTTGAGAGAACAGTTAAGCAGGCACAAATACTGAGATTTAAAAAGACCATTTAAACAAATGCAAATTCCTGATGGGTTTTAGCAGCAAGATCTAACAGGCTTTAAAACACAGGCATTACCTCATCTAAATTACAATCATGCTCTTTACAAAGGACTTCAATAACTTTTGTATCGGTATCAATTTGCTTTGAAGTACGGGTACTCCTGTTCTGACCTCTTCTTGGAGTTCGAGCTGAACCATTAACAGCCACTGCAGTCACAGCAGACTCTGGAAGGATAGTCAGAACCACCACAAGGTTAGAGTCATCTTAAGAAAGATTTAAATTTTTAAACCCAAGAGATTTAAATTTTTTATATGCTTTTTCAGGTCCTCTTCTTAAATAATTCCCTTTTCATCTGTTCAGCTAGGTAACAAACCTTCATTACAGAAAACCTATACAAAAAGAAAACTTATTTTTAAATTGCTCTAGCAGTATTTGGACATTTTGTTTTTTAAAAAGCTATTCCACACAGAATGCAGTAGCACTTTTTGTAAGTAATTTGAATAAGCATCTCTTTTGCAAAGCTAGGAAACTCTTCTCTTTTCACAGATGAGTAACTTCATTCTGTTTTACACAGAAGTGTAAATCAAGGAGCTGAAAGAGTAACCTCACTCTACACGCCTGAAGGTTAATAAAGTCAGTGCAGGATTTGAGTGCTGGTGGGAATGTGAAATATGGTTCTGCAGGAATTTCCTCCTTTCCCTAAATACCCCCAGGCAAACAAGCAGGAACAAACAAGTTCACCTTGAAGAAGACACCAAAAAAACCCCTAATTTAGTGAGGTAAAAATATTTCATTTTGTTAAGCTTGAAGTAAATAGCTTCAATACTCTCAGCTTGAAATACTTGAATTATGTTGGTCACATGCATTAATATCATTAAATATTGTTGGTTTAAACTGACTCTCCCATCAGCATACTGTTCTCATCTGTAACTTCACCTGTATTTGACAACTCTTCTGAGAAAATCTGACAAACTACACTGTGTGGGTGGTTGCATCTTTAATCCCCTCAGCCTTAGTCAGATCATGAAGCTTGACATCACTTAGCACAACGTGAAGCCTCTCGGTCACGAGGGTTTGAACAATACACTCTGTTATGTGCTGTAAGAACGAAGCGCTGTTTGACAGTTTACACAGCACCTGCACATATCCACAACCTCAAGTGAGAAATCTAATGCTTTACGCTTAGGACAGCGGTACCCATAATTGCAACTTAGTCTGAAGTGACAGCATTTCTTTTCTAGATACAATGCACAGAACCAAACTGGTTCCAATACTGAGCTCCTAATCTTCAGAGCGTCACTAAAAAAAAAAATATTAAGTTGAGGCGAACACAGAGTTTGAAACCAGGTAGTTTCAGTCCAGTGTCCTTTGAAAAAGATGTTCTTTGTAACACCTGAGATAAGCAGTGGCATGTCTCTCCTGCCATGAATGACAAATTCAAATTCAACAGTACTGCAGAAGGACAGGGATTTGTCTGCCACAATAAAAATGAGGTTGTCCTTACCTTCAGTAAATAATTACTAGGTCAGATAAATATCCTCCAAAACAAGACATCAAAAGATTGTAGCAGTGAATACATCATCTATTCAGTGACATTATAACCCAAGTGGGTATTTAGTTGCGAAACAAAGAAATAAAGCAAGTAGATTTAGGCTACAAATACTAGTGTCACATCCAAAGCCAGCAGAGGATAAATCAGTTAGTAATCAAAAAAACTGTTTTCTGCAGACTGTGGCTCCAAGTACTTCGGTATATCTATTCCCATAGCTTGCAGGAGAAAATATTCAACAAAAACAAATTTCATCTTTGAAAGTGACCATAAATGCTTACTTTCTCTGCCTTTTTAGTGAGGTTTTCCAGGTTTTCAGTATAAAAACATGAATGTACAAAAAGTTACTGCTGAGCAGAAGTTTCTGTAATGAAGACCCACTATATTTTTACTTAAAACAGAGACACTTGCTTATAACAAAGGGGATGTAATAAAAATAAAGCTGTGTACATTCTACCTCTACCGTTTTATTTTGCGCTACCACTGCAATTATGTTTTCTATCCACTGTGTATTCCCATTAAATGCCTGTATAGTCCAGGATCTTGTATATTTCTGCTGTCATCACACTGTTATATGTCAGTGAAATAACAGTCATAGGACCATCTTTTCTTTTTGTAACTCTTAAGAAAACCTGAATAATAGTTCTCAGTCACCATCTACCCAGAACCTGGATTCTTTTACCGAAGTAAAACTGTTCTAACGAGCCCCTGAACAACTTGTATGGGCAGAGAACACAGCAAACAGATGGTAGGAATAGAAAAAAAAAATTAATTATATTAAAGACACTGCTACGTTCAGATAACTTAAGTTCACCATCATCTAAATTGAACTAACATAAAAAAATCCATTTTAATAAGCTTAAGAAGTTTTATTATGTTGACGATGACTGTTAACATGACACTAATAGAAATTTAACCAATTTACTTTCTACTTTAGTGAACAAAACACTAAAATCCTTACTGTATGGTTCCTTGAGCATAGCAGGAGGTGACAGTTTGATAAAATAATCTAAGACACACAGCAACAACTGGAAAGAAATCACCAGATCATCTTCCACTTGCAACACTTTACCTGCAAACGTTCAAAAAGGTAAAGAAAACCTTGTGAGATGCTTTACAATTTTAAAAGTAATGTTGAAAAAAATACATATTTGGAAGTTCACTAATAAAACACTACAATTACAGTTCAGAAAGCATCATACAGTGCTCTTTAAAGGCTACTGATTTTAAAACTCATGGTTGTTAAAGAGGTTTGTTGCTTTAGAAATAGCATACATATAAATAAACTTACTGTGCACAAAATTCATACCTCTCAGTGCTAATTCCTGATTTCTTTTTCTTTCCACTATAATGGAATAACAGCGCAGACTATTTTACCTACACATACCTCTTATTTCTATGCAGTCCTTCCTCACTGTTTTTGGGAAAGCTGCTATGTATTCAGAAAGCAGGAGTTGCTAGTATATAGTGAGGAGAAATTCAAAACATGCTACCACACTGCATGCTCAGCCTCTCAAATTTAGATGAAACAACTTAAAATTCACACAAACATTAACATGAAGAGTACTTATAAAGTGACATTATTCCAGCTGTTCCCAAATTACACTTCATATTATAGAGAAGATCTGCAGGGCCATACCAAGATGGCATGCATTGCCACAGGAAATTCAGCAAGCCTATAGAGATCCTGAACACCTAGAGACCACCACTTCTGCTCTATTTAAACACGCAACTTTTTTATTTATTTTCCATCACAATTAGCAAGCATCACGCAGGCTCTCCTGTGACTTCCACTACTTGCTGGTAAATTTTAGCTTTCCTTATTCCCAATGAAAAGGCAGGCTAGAAACACTCTGTGGGTTTTGCTCTGTGCTCGCGCTTGGAGAGTTCTAGTGAAAAAGGCTCCATGAAGCTCAACTGATCCAAGACTGATTTTACTGGCAGAAATGTGCACACTTTGCTGATAACACAGACCTAGAGTAAGCAGCAACTAAGATACACAATTCATTCCTTTGTGTAGGATTAATACAACAAGACAGGCCTCCGTGGACTGCTGTAATTGTTTCATCACACCTTTTCAAGGAGAAACTGTACTATGCAATTTCAGGAATTTATTATCTGATATTATCATCATAATTAAATTTTATTTCTTTATTTTTTTAATACATTTATAATATAGATAAGCCTATTACAAAAATCCTACCAGTCTTTTCAAGTATTCATCCATTATTAAAGTATTGGCAGATTGTAAAGCAACTTAGAATAGACTCAAATACAGAATAAGAGCCATCAAAGTAAAAAAATCCCACACTTAGAAAGCATAAAAAAATATATTTATATACACAGGAAGCTATAGAAGTTAAAAGAATAGCCAAATTGTATAGACAGAAATATTACTGGGTACTTAACAAAAGCCATGCAACATCCCACTTAGAAGGCATAAAAAAATATATACACAGGAAGCTATAGAAGTTAAAAGAATAGCCAAATTGTATAGACAGAAATATTACTGGGTACTTAACAAAAGCCATGCAACATCCTGGGCCTACACTATGGATGTTGGTAATAAGGATGCCAGTCTCATACTGGACACATAAAACAAACCCATAATACTCATTAAAATAACTGTATTTTAATCACAACTAACCTTTTGCCAGCAAAAAAGTAATCCAGTAATTTTTTAGGACTAATACAGAACTGAGTTCAGCAGAAATCCTGTAGAGACACAATAATAAAGTGTTTGCATTAATGGCTCCATTTATTAAATTTAAACCATAGTCTGTGAAAAGATGCTTCAGTTGCATGGAATAAGTTAAGACAACATGCACCATTTCCCATATAGTTAAGTTTATTAATAATCTCATTCCAATCCCTACATAATTATGACTACGCATTTGAAAAAATTAAGTCTCTGTAAAGCCATTCAAGAATCTGTATCATTCTTGGAAAAGAAAGTGAACGTGGATAATTCACTTAACTGTTACGAGCTGTTTTCTCTCTTGTGCCCTAATGCCCTATTCTCCAGTCACAGCATGAACGCAAGCTCATTTAGGAGTTGCTACGGCATCTTTTTCATCCATTCATTTGTTGCTATGATTAGGAAGCTCACTCTCCAAAAGTTCCTTTCCACCATGCCAAGACACACGCCATTGGGTGGCAATCCTTCATGGAGGAAGTGATCAAATATATATATCACTGATGCAGCTTTCATCATCTCTCACTGAAATTCAAAGTCCCCACTAAATCTAAATTAAACACATGACACACTATGACTCAGGTCAGTCTTAACGGGTTAAAAAACAAAATGCTGACACATTTTACATCCTATCTTGACAAACACTATTGAGGAAAGTCAAACTTACTCACTACTAGGTTGTTCCAGATAAATAAGGCCACAAGTCCTAGAAGATAAAAATAAATTCTTATTTTTAAACACTTTTCTGAAAGCAAAGTGTGTAGCATCTTTGACTTCAGCGTAGTAGAACATGCTAGTTCACAAAACATTACTCTAACTTTAAAAAAATGCCGACTCTTGGAGAACACATTAACAACAGACAAACTAAAGCCCTGCGAGAGCTGAAATAATGCTGTTGCTGGCAAGTTTATGTCAGAACTTGCATAGCACAACAATTTTAATTTGGTACAATAAAATTTGTTATTTTCTTCCAGAAAGACAGGATTTGTATGCACATTGTTACTCAGTGGCTTGTAAAACAGAGCAAAGGATGTGCTAGAGCTGTGCAGAACTCCATATGAACACCCATTTTAAAACCTTTGCTTTGTCACTGCAAGCCTTGCAATATAATGGTCCTACCTAATTATTCCAGGTACATGTAATTTCAAGAAATAAATTCAGTTTATTCATAAATAAAAACAGGGGGAACACACATATTTCATATCCTTCTATTTGAAGACATTACCGCAGTTCAAGTTCTGAACAAGTAAGCAAGTGAAGAAGAGTTTGAGGAGGAACAAAAAGCAAAACATGCCTGTGTAAACCTGCAATGACACTTTTATAGCCCAGAAAAGACTTGTAAGTAATTTGCTTTTACCCACTGAAACTTCGATAGAACTTCATAGCTTTGAGGCAACTATAAACTTTTCAAAAATATTGTGATACACACATTACCCAAGCTAATGGTTAAGTGTGACTGATGGGACTTTGAAAAGATAAATAAAACTATCACATTTCTGCCTTGATTCTATAAACTCCCAAGGGGTGACCTGCCACCCCTTTCCAGGGTGATTTAAGGGATATTTGAGAGCCTTTTGTGGTTTGGGAAGCAAAATGTTACAGCAACTCAAACTCCTGGAGGTGAAAAATACCACAGTGATCTGAAGCAACGGCATCAAGTAATATGAGCATCATGAAACGATGCTTCAATGCTTAAGAACATGAAACAGTTTTCTACTGGTACATGCTATAAAGAATTTCACAGGCTGATAAAAATTGCCTCAGAGGATATCAGATCTTGCCAATACTCATCTGTGCTAGCACACATTAGCCTGTAAAAAGATCTAAAGCCTTTATCATCTTTGTCTTCACATTAAAGCACGGAGTGCGGCAACTTCCCACCTTGGAAAAACAGCACCTTGAATAAAGCATCCATTTGAGAATCTGATTTTCAAGTTATACACAAAAAGCTCTGAGCGCTCTGCCATAAGCACATTCATTTTCTTTTGTACAAAGAAAATGTCCCTCGATTTTCATTGTATGGTCAGCTAAACCACTTGAGAAAGTTTACCTCTGATTACAAGTGAGAACTGTTAACAGAGCAGGCTCTGCAACATCCCCAGACACTGGAACAAACAGCATTCAGTTCCAGATCTGGGAGAAAGAAAGACTACCTTATTTGTGCCTTTTTTTTTTTTTTTTTTCCCCAGAACTCCTCAGAAACTCTTGGAAAAGAATTTGGGGAGGGGTGGACAGGCAGAAACCTCCCTTAACTAAAAAAATATTAGACAGCAAACCAATCCTTACACTTGTAAAAAGCTTAGCAAATGGACTAGCAACCACTTGTCATGCTGTTCTTGTACCGCAACAAAGGGGTTGTTTAACAGAGCATTGTAATAGTTATGGAGTAAAATAAGGCGTGTTTATTCAAGGCATGTAAAGAGTTCCTTTTCCCTGTTCTGTAAATATTAGCACACAGTTTAAATGGGCTCTTTCTAGTACACAGTTTGAAAAATCTAAATACTTAAATGTCGACAGCCGTAAAGAATTCATAATTTTGAAATGAAAAACATATACTACCTTTCAAACTTGTGGTATAGTGCAAGTAATACATCATATTTCTTTTTCAGCCTTGATACAGTGCTATCAACTTTAGTGCTTACAGTATCCATGTTAACATCCACTTCTTTCAGAAACTGAAAAAATGTGCATACACTGAAAAACAAGAAAAAAATATGCCAGATTATCATAACTGAGAATGACCATTATGCAACAGATCTTTAAAAACCCCACCAAAACCCACTGCCTTACCTCCTCCAGCACATTCTTACTACAACCAGCAGTCACTGAGAACCTTGCCTTGATTAACACTACTGCCTTACCTTGTGCCCCATACACCACCTTTACGTTTCCCAGCTCTAGGAAAGCTGTTCTACTAGATAGCACAGGCCTCTCGTGATATGGGCTCTACTGCAGCAAGGATTTTCTTGGCTAGCACAGATATCTTTGGAAGTCAGAATTTGCTAACTAGACACATCTTGGTTCCTTGCTTTGACAGTAAAACCACAAATATCCAACACTGACATCTCAACTCTTCTGATCTAGCTAAAAGTTCTACTTCAGAAATGTTTCTACTACTCCCTAGGAACATGAACCTTGGTTCCATCCATGCTAAAGAGAGACCTAAGAGTGAAAAACGAGATCAGTGCATTGAACTGAATGGAATTCAAAGTCTTTCAACAAGGACTACCTCACTCTTTGGAAATACTATTAGACAGGAGACCAAACGTTTCCCTACTCATCCATGTAATATTATGGCCACCAAGAAAGCATTTTGTCATTTTGTTCACAACCAGAACGAGCAGATTACTAAAAATAAAATTGCAGGATTCTATCAAATATATTCAGCTATTTCAAATTCATCACATACATTTTGATCCTTTATCAGAATATAGGATGCCGAGAGGTATTTTTTTAACTTTTGTCAGATTAAAAACCAGAATATAAAACCAGTCAGAAGTTCATTTGGGATCTCTTTTGCTGTAGAATGAAAGATCTTTCCAAAATATCTGTGTGGCTCCAGAGGATAACAGGACTGGTAGATATCTCTGCCAGATTGACCTTATAGCTCACAAAAAGCCCAGGACTAACAAGCAATTGAGTATTGCTAAAATAAAAATCATCAGAATAATAGATTACACTTTGAAACCCCAAGGGAAAAAAATCTCCGTTTACAGCACAAGTTGGTCCGTACTCAGGTGGAACACGCTGAATGTCGCTGCACAAATGCAATTAGATTTCATGCATGAGGCTCCAATTTGATCAAGACTGATGTAGTGGGTTTGCACGGTAAGGTTTTAGTAGCTGCGGGGGGTGCTACAGGGGTGGCTTCTGTGAGAAGCTGCTGGGAACCTCCCCTGTGTCTGACAGAGCTGATGCCAGCCGGCTCCGAGACAGACCCACCACTGGCAATGACCAAGCCCATGAGCAACAGTGGTAATACCTCTGGGATAACGTGAGAAGAGGGGTTGAAGTGGAAAAAGAAAACTGCAGCCAGAGAGAGATGTGAGAGAACATCTCTGTAGACAAAAAGGTCCATGGAGGAGGCAGCACTCCAGACACCACAGCAGAGATTCCCTGGCAGCCTGTGGTGCAGACCATGGGGAGGCCGGCTGTGCCCTGCCGCCATGGACGGT